CTAATTGCCAGTTAGGTTTCCTTTTTTCCTAACAATTTCAGACATTTCTATTCTCAAGGAGGATAATAGTTAAAGCATAAAAAAGCGTACAAAATAGAACGTTATTTTTATAAAATCGAGAGAATATTTCGATGTGGATTTTCGGTTAAAACAGTCAAAAACATGAATATAGAAACTTTCTATGTTAGTGTGTTGGATTGCAACAGGTTCAGTTAGTTATTCGTAATAATGCCTGAATTTTATACGTATAATTAAAAAACAAGTTAAAGACATGTGGGTGTCTTCAACAGAACGTTTGCAGGTCAAAAAATTATTTCAAAATCAATGAAAAGTATTCAGAAATCGTGAGATGCGGTTTGGTGTGATGTAGGTTTCAGAACGACGTTTCTTGACGACACGCAAGAATGGCACAATTACACAGAAGACAAAAATTTTGAGCCCTGAAGATGATATCAATCAAGATCGAAACGTTAGCACGATAAAAAAATGTTTTTCTGAAGCCTACATCACACCAGACTGCATCTCACGATTTCTGAATAATTATAGTTTAACGGTCACTAATCACCACACATCAATGAAAAGGTTTAATAAAGGCTAAAATAAAAATCTTAAATGTAATAATAATAATAAATTTATTTGCGAAAAGTAAAATACTACAGTAAGAAAAAAGATAAATAGAGAAAAAAAATTAAGGATAAAATAATAAAACCGTAAGTAAAAGTAAGTCATTTAACCAATCTGCACATTTTCGCCTGTCACCTAAAAGCAGTGCTTGTAACAGCTGGCAGGAGTTATGTCATTGGAACAACATTGGTAAAAATTAAATCAAAAGGACGAGAAGGTGTGTAAGACCAAATAAATGAAAGAAAAACAAAATTATGAAGAGAGAAAACAAAATTTATTTATTTATTATAACGGGCTGTGATAACATAGAATTACCAATGTACTAGAAATTTAGATCTTGTTTTAAAAATTGTGGAAAATGATAGTTATCAGTAGGTGATAGTGTGGGGATCCTCCCACCTGATAACCTGATAAACACAATTTTCTAGTCAAACGCCTGTGATATTTATGTAACCAAAGAATACTAATTGTTAAGTAATTGCTACTGTTTTAAAAAAATGCATATATATGTAAGAGGCTATTAAGAACAGGTTCTTTTATTTATTTATTTATTATATATGTATATAGTTTGTATATATACATATCGTGAAATGTGTAATGTGTTTAAGTTATGATTTTGTATCTGTAAGTACAATTACTGTAATTTACAGTAATTTATAACTATTTAAATGATTATGTCCCTAAGTCTCTGTACATCCCCTGAAGAAGGCAATAAAACTTGTCGAAAGCTTGGGCGTTGATATAACATTTAATAACACACATATGTTTGAAGACCACAACCCGAATCCAAATCAACATCGTATTAAAGGCTGGCTGATCGCATAAGAAGTATTAGAGAAAACAAAAATAAAATAAAATGCAATAAATTCAAATAAAGATGAAATAGAAATTAGAGAATACCATAATTGCCATATGATGCCAAATATACCACAAAGAAAGTTCAAATTATAAATTTAAAATTTTTACAGTAATAAATTTTTTGAAATCATAATAAGAATTAAATTTGTTAAAATTAATTTTATGGTTATAAAGAAACCTAAAAACAACATTTTATGAAAAATTAAATAAAAATTAGTGTTTATTTTGGATATAAAAATATTAGTCACTACTTTTTGTCTTGTTTGATACTCATTGTTTGATTCAGCAAAAAGGTTATTTTTAAAGACATAAATACAAGAACATTTTAAAAACAATTGTTTAAATTTTAGAACCTGAAAATTAAATCTAAAAGGTTTAGAAAGAATAGTTCTCAAAAGAGAATTTTGAGTTATGATTAATGCGTTTAAATAACAATTATTGGTTCCACCCCATGTAACCATACCATACCAAATTATAAACTGAAACAGAGCATAATAAACTGATTTTAACAATTTTAAATTTAGGATCTTTCTTAGAACACTGAATTTATAAAGGAGTTTTCTCAGTCGCATAACCAAAGAATCAATGTGTAACTTAAAATTTAACCTAGAATCTAATATAACTCCCAAATATTTAGTATTAGTTGTAATTGGTATGGGGGAACAGTTGCAGTTAAACGGATTAATACATGTATGGAAACAAAATTTAAAGCTCTTTAAAACTAATCTTTTACTTAATGCAAAATGTAAGACATTGGATTTATCATTATTTAAAAGTAAACAGTTAGAAGATAACCATGTTTTAACAAGTCTAAGATCATTGTTAATAGATATAATCAAATTATCAATTATCGTTCCAGAAAAAATCAAGCACGTATCATCAGCATAACTAAAAACTTTACAGTATATTTTCAATTTTAAATGATCATTAATATATAAAAGAAAAAAAATAGGGGTCTTAAAACCGTACCTTGATGGACGCCAGAGACGATAGGAAATGGATTGCTAGAGACTGTTCCAACTTTTGTTATCTGAGTTCTACCCACTAAATAAAACTCAATAAGCTTAAGAGGAACCTCAACAATTACTATTAATTTTAATTTTTTTTTAATAACAATCGATGATCGACGGAGTAGAAAACCTTTTTTAAATGTAGAAAGATCCCAAAAACATGGTAACCTCCATCCAAGTCTTTTGAAATATTGTTAACAACATCAAAAAGTGTCTGTTCAGTTGACTCACCATGCTTGAAACCATATTAGTTAGGAGCAATTATATTATGAATATTAAGAAAATCAAATAATCTATTTTTAATCAATTTTTCTAAAATTTTAGCCAAAGTTAAGATCAAAGAAATAGGTCTGTAAATATTAAAATCTGATTTTGAACCTGATTTAAATAAAGGGATAATTAATAATATAATATATTATATAACTGATAATTAATAATATAAATATATCATCGAATGTGATGTAATACTATTATGTGAAACATTCATTGAAGAGAAACATGTTGCAAAACTCCCTTCATGGTTTCAAGAATTTAAGATTACTTAGGTTACTGCAACAAGAATACACAAGACAGGTCGTGCAGTCGGAAGAAGTCTATATAATATCAAAAATAACTTAGGAAAACTAACATAGTTACTTTACTACATTAATGATTAAGCGGTTATAAAAATAAATTTTTCGAACAATGTTGCGCACATACTACCGATTTATTTATCAGACTCTAGCTGGGACCTACAATATAATAAATACATACAATATAAATATACATATATAGTAGTATAGTTTCCTGTAGTAAAGAACAGAAAAGCTTGGTTTTCTGTTTCTTTAAAATAAAGACATGCTTAATAATGGAAGACAATAAAGGCTAGGAGGACACACAGGGTACTTCAATCTCACAATATTACAATTGCGTGTACATAAAAAAATAAAAAATATTAGAATAATGTTTTATGTATTTTTCCAATTTAAGCGCGCATTTTTTGTTTTGTGTGACTTTGGTCAAAGTAATTTCTTTGTGGAAAAATACATCTAGATTTTTAGTACATTAACCTTCACTGTTTGTATGCGATTATGTTAATTGAACAAATAAAATTATTATAGCTTCAAATTAGATTTTTTTATATTTTAAATTAACCCCTTTTTTGCATCGAATTAACACTTTTTGCATCAATGAACTCTTTTAACTTCAAATTATCCTTATTTATCTGGAAATTAACCATTTTTAATTTTAAATTAACCGTTTTTAACTTCAGATTAATCTTTTTTAATTTCAATTCACCTTTTCCTTAAATCGTATAAAAACTGGGTGATATGAAATGTAATTATGTAAAGTTCCTGCATTTGAAAAAAAAAATTAAATGTAAAATAATTGGGCTCTTAGAAGACTAATAAAAATTAATTGCAATTAAAATTAATAATTGTATAAAATTAAATATAAAAACAAATTATTCTTTTAATTTGAGATTTTTTGTACATATACAATTCTTAAAAACTACAATTTCTCAACTTAACAGAATATAACGTTTTGCATATCTTTTTAAATTTTAATTGTAATCAATTTTAAAATGTCTTCTATAAACCAATTATTCTATATTAAAATAATTCCAAAATATACAGATATTTTACTTTACATGCTTTTATAGGTTTTACTTTACATATCATTTCCTAGGTTTTATAATGCTTGAAAAAAAGCATTTATTTGAAATAAATGGTTAACTTGAAGTTAAAAAGGAAGCAGTGTTATTTTATTGTATATAGTATTGATATTTTTGTGTCACCTAGTGTGTTTTAGAGTGAATGCATTTATTAGCGAGAAGGTGCAGTAAGAGAGGGTCAATGGTGTAGTCAATATTCAGTCATCTATCCTCAATTATGTTAGTCATATAATAGGTATAAAGGTATATCGAGGAATGTCAAATACTCACTCCATTTCCCTAATTGAGTGAATTGCTTATATTAAGAAGGAATGTATTTAATAGTGAGTGAGAGTGTGAATGGATTCGGATATAAATTCCGAAAGCTGGAATTGTCGGTGACTGCGTGGTTTGGGGAGATAAGCTACACTGTTGTATACGTGTGTATATTTGTATATGCATTTTGTATATTTGTATACGCAGATTTGAGCGTATAAAATCAGGTGTCAGTAATCAGTATTTGTATAATATATAATATAAAATAATTTCTGTCATACAAAATAAAATTCCATGAACTATGCTGACATTAGAACCCTGAACCGTTAGCAAATACGAATCGGACGCCGTAACCCTTCAGCCAAGGCCCCTGTGTTATATAAACAATATACAATTACAACTTTTATCTCTTGGTTGAAATAAATAAGACACAAATTCTTACTATACGTTATAATCATTTGTAACGTGTTTTAATACGTTATCGACAGTTTATATTTTTCCCTGGTGGTATATAAATTCAATCAATGATAACTAGTTATTGTGTATTGTCAAACGGATATAAAAATAAAAATGATTTAAATTTTGCTTTCTTTTTTCAGAAATCGAGGGCCACTCCATAAACGATGCCGGGACCTCTTCGCTTGATTGCCTAAGCCTCATAGTCGAAAGCATCACTAGGCAAAGATACGACCAGAGCCAGACGCAAGCGTGACCACGGCGGAATGCCAAAACCAAAAATTATATTTTTGTAATTTTATCGTAAAATATATTTATAATTAGGTCCTAGTTTCTCCGTTTCACGAGAGCGTTGGCCTAATGGCCCTTTCTATTTACCCGGTGCTAAAAAATGAAGCATGAATTTGTACGAACTTTATTTTATTGGGGTTGGAGGAAGTATTGTCCGTTTTTTGGTTACATATCAATTTTAATTTGTTCATTACTTCATAAATGTAATCCATAATTACTTAAACAATGATCATATAATAGATCAATAATGAGACAAAATTTTAAGATCAATTTTGTCATAATTCCTTTCATTAGTCAGGCAATTTTATTATACCGACCTTCTACTTTTCGTAAAAAGAAACTTTTGACTTTATTAGACAAAGATCTTTTTTAATAACAATTGACAATCAGGTTTTACGAATTTGTCGAAGTGTCATCAAAGAAAAAATATTGGCACTTGGACTGACTCGGGTTAAAACGATTGCATTTATATTTATTAATCCAGGCCTCCTTTTTCTTCATTAAGTTGGACGAGTTGGGAATAGTTTTGGAATGGAACAGACCATCTGCCAAAAAGTGAGGGAAAACTGACAAAATTCGAAATGTAGTTGAAGAAGAAAATAAATCATTAACGAGTTGATAAATATTTATGCGCGAGTGGACGTTATATTTTCTTAAACCCCAATGGTATCCTAACTTATAGTTATTTCGTCTATTTCCTGAATGGTTCTATTGCCCTCATGTCGGTTTGTTTTTACAGTTTTCAACGGTTTTAGTACTAGATTTGTTCCCCCAACTCTCAGGATTATTATTATTATTTATTCTTCCCCTTTCAACTCATAAAATAAAATTCCAAAGTTATAAAAAAATACGATTTTGTATTTTAAAAATAGTTCCCAATTGCTTTTTAACACACCCGAATAATATCAAATACACAACAAAACTGGCAGTTTTTTTATTCTTGTTAACAATCGAGATAAAGTGTATTTTGACAGGCTAAACGGTTTGATTTCGTTTTAGTCTAGAATATGTGAATAAATATAGTGGTTGTCGGATTTCGTCACTTTTTCATCACACGTCAAGCGAAATTTAATTTTAGGATTGTGTTATCTAGGGCAAAGCGTAAAATAGAGGCGTATGTTATTCTTTTTAGCGTGTTTAATAAATGTATTAGATGTATTTTTGTCTTTGCATAATAAAAACGTACTGCCAAAAATTTGCATTAGGTTTTACGACGCTCAAATCCATTTGCTCAATTACGAAATTGTCCAGTCATTATTCTAAGTCAAGAACTTTCAAGATATCAAAACCTGTGCATTTAACTTATATTCTATTAGGCTGACTTATAATTTTATTGTGATCCAATGTTGATTGCCAACATTGGCTCTAAAAACGTCATATTTTTAAATAATTTATTGTTTGTTATAATGTTAAGAAATCTGTTGTACATAATTAAATTAAAAGAAGATTAGTGTTTTTTTTCTTTAAAAAATTAGCCTTTTACTCCTCGTATCCTTTCCAAATTTGGCTACAAGTTAAATACATGCGGCTACAGGGCACATTTTACATAATCCCACAAAAATGGGTTCTCTGAGTCCGTGGTGAAGATACGATAAACAAAAGGAAAAAACGAACTTATCAGGCTGAAAAAAATTTAATATTTCCTCTAAAAGGCTATTACTAAATTCATGTATCACGTGGTGAAGCTAATCGTTTTGGCTGTAAAATTTTGAACTTGAATGACAAACCGTGGTTATCAGATAATATCCACTTATATTTATTATGTAATCTATGGAGAAATTTAAATGTACCTATGAATGCATTTGAATGAATGGTAAACCACATTGAATTGAATAAATGTCAAAGTTTTAGCTAACTGCATAATTTGTATTATAGAAACATTAATTGTATGTTACAATTAATTAAGGTTTTTAGTTGAGATAAAAAAGTCAATGGCACGAGCGGGATTCGAACCCACGACCTTCGGATAGATACGCTGCTGCTCTACCACTTGAGTTATCGTGACCTCGATCCACTCGGACCCTAACCGCACCTTTTGAATTTTCCCTCCTTTTTGCCATTTTTCAAATGCCGTGTAATCGGATTGGATTCTCGGCCACAAATAAAACGAGCTGATAATAGGAGGCTGATGACCCGAAATCGATATCAATAAAAAGAATGTGAGTTTGATGGTTGTTCAGACCTAACTAAATACAGAATAGTTTATTCTTTATTTCATGAATATAAAACGTTTTGTTCTCTTAAAGAAAAGCCAGTACATTTAACTTAAAAATTAATACAAATTTGGTCTATTGACGGAAAATTTAGAAGGATAAAATACAATCAGGGATTAAAGGAATAGTTGAACGCATCTGAAAAACTCATAATTTTAATCCCGTTATCCTGGAGTATAATAAATTAAAGCATGGATTGAGTCAATTGACCCAAACTTAGGAACTAGGAAAATAACAATAACCCAGAAGGTAGAAGAATTTGATTTCCGTTTCCTGTAGCCTCATCATCATCATGATTCATGCATCATAAACTAAGCCTAAAATTAAGTACTGGTTTTATTATTTTAATTATTTTTCTTTTTAAAATTGGATATTTATCTCTAAATTCCTGTTTTTGTAGAACCTCTTGCAGATTGCTTATGCCTCATTACATAGCTTTTATTATTCATACTAAGTGTACTATTTTATGTTCTATTAAAGCTAATAGGCTGAAATGTTTTTTTTTAAGTGTAAAAAATGATAGCTTTATACGTTTCCCTTTTATGCCCTTTTTAACTGAATCCTGATTTAACCGAATTTCTGATTCACTGAGTGCAAACTATCACACGTACTTCAAAATCTCAACTAGGAAAAAATCCAACTCTCTCGGTAAGCAACAATTAAGGAAAATAATAGTCCTTTATATTCCCATTCAGTCACGACCTAAACAATGAAGACTGAAACATACCGACTCCATCATCAAGAGGCATAAACGTTAGAACATTGCATTTGACTGCAAAGCATTAGCCCGAAAACCGTACAGCCTTTTAGGAAAGGTCTAATGCCTAAAGAAAGACGCAAATAGGAGCCCAGAAAATGATAAACTACCTTAAGGGAGAGCATTTTCCGGGGCTTAGAAATAAAGAAGAGTCAATTGCTCAATACAACATTTAGGACACAGTAGAAGGGGTCACTCAAAAAAGAGACAAAAAAGAAAGCTGGGTTGATCGAATGCCTACGAGTCCATTCAAGACGTTGAAGTTGCATACAAGATCTGTATGACACATTTGCATGTTCCAGTTATTAAGAACTATATTTTTGATATAATTAATCTTCCTAGGAAGAAATTAAGGGACTTTACATCTGAGCCTCTTTTTAACCTCTAGTCTTAAGAAAAAATAAACATTTCAATCTTTTCACATCTTGCCTGATCTTCTTTCAAATCTAATAACTCAAATTCTCCAGATTATGTGTTTTAACTGGGTTTATTTCTAAAATTGAATATTTGTCTAACTTTAAGATAAAGGAAACATTCAATTTTTTTTCAAAATTAGTTAAACTTCGTTGTTTTATCATTCGGTTTTTGTAACTCTATGTTACTGAAATTTTAACATATGCACATGAACTTATGTATTATAATTACATTTGTATTCCAATTTTGTTGACAAGCAAAGATGTTTTACGTTGTAAATTTAAAAGTAATCTTCATTCATTGACTTTATTTACCGAACCACCATCAGCCCCATTAAATTTGGTTAAATGGGATATGGCTTTCTATTAAAGCAATTAAAAAAAATTAAATTTTAATTAATGTTTTAATTTTAAAGTAATAGTGTTGTAATTAACTTTGTAGTTGTTCAGTTGAGCCGATCAGCCTCATGTCGGGACCAGATATTCTTCTGCAATTTAACCTATCTAAATAGGAATTTTTAAACTTTTTAGTCATTATGTGATACATACTTTTGTATAAACGTTAAAACAATGTCCCGGTCCTAGACAATTTTGATGATTTCACCCATAGACGTAGACGCCAAGCTATTTTTCTAAGACAAGCTACCACATTTCAACCTTTCAACCACTGAAAGACCAAAATGGAAGATGTACACAGAGCATTAGCTGTCAGGAGACATCTATTTCCATACAGACGTCCACTTAGATCAACACGTGTGTGTGTGTTATATGTTTGTTTTGTAGCAGGGGGCAAGCGTTAATAGCCGGCAGGACAAGTTCCTAGTTGCTACCGTCTTGAAAAGGCGCCTGGATCTAATGCCGTTTCCATGTCCCTGCACTTCCGGGCGACCTCTGTCACCGGACCAATTAGCCAGCGAACATCCCTTGACAAATCGGCCGGGACTAATTGGGACCGGTATTAATTTTAGACGGAGGCTAAGCCAAGTCCCTGAGTCCAATGCTCTTTTGAAAACAATAAACGGCCAAACAATGTTCAAGTTTTAAAAGTTCTAAAACAAGCGGGCTGGGTTAGTGGCCAACCTTTTGTAAGAACTTGCACAAGAAGACTATCGAATACTCTGGGGTAGTATGAATGCTAACTAGACTGTCTTGTTTGATCGGGTTTCTTTTCGTGTGTGTATTTGTGTTTGTTATTTGTGTTATTTTATGTACAATGACGAAGACCTGAGGTGCAGAAAGGTTAGTAGTAGGATAAAGTTAAGGGAGAGTCCGTTACCGTCCTAATTGGTCTAATAGATTGACTGGATAAACAGGAAATAAATTAATAGGATTAAAACGCGAGAAAGGCAGGAAAAGAAAAGCAAAGAGAGGAAAGGTTAATGTTCACCAATTTTAGTAGCCAGCCCTAAAATTAAAAAAAAGTGGTAGGTGTTGAACCCACGGCCTTCGTATTATTTCTCTTTACGTTTAATGTTAATAACTAACATTACTGAATACTTATTATTTGGATTTGTTGCTAAATAGTAATTGTGAATATTCATTTATCGCGCTGAACTATAATTTTTATATGGGATTGATTCGTTTCAGTTTTTGGAACTTTGTTCTCGAAGGGCTGGGCGGACAGACTGGATCGGAGCTTATTCCCGAGACAACCAAAATACACAGATCGTTAAGTCCTCCGAGGAACACTATTTATACAGACGAGAAGGCACACTATTTATAAATAGATGTCGTATATTTCAATCGTGAGAATGCAGATCGGACTCCCTGTTTTACTCCCCTGCCCCCGTTTTAGCGGTGATTTTCCGAATTTGACAAAAAAACTAAAACTACAATATTCAGATATTTATATTATTTCCAATTTATTTTAATAATAATTTTTTTAGTAAGTGTATGCAATCATATTGCAGTGTCAATATTATTGGTGTATATTTTACACGACACGATTTACTTTTCAATATTTTGACGTATATAATTCTTAGACAATTTTCAAAAATACGTGCTAAAATACGTATTTTTAGTTCTGTTGAGATGAATTAAGGTAACATCATAATACAAGAAAAATTCCAACGATTTTCAAAACGTATATTTATCATAGACAGTGAACAAAATCAGAGCTAACCCGATTTTGGTTGATTGAAAAGATAAACGGACATACAACAAAACGCAGGGTTGGCTTGCTTGGTGACATGACTTTTCCATTAGGACAATTTACTATGATGATTTTTATGTTATAAATGTAGTAGTTTTCCCTGTACCCTTCAAGTACATCATCAGTATGGTTAGAACCATTTTAAAAAATAAATGTGTCTTCTAAAATTCGACGGATTGAGATTATTCATTTTTAAATTTTTACAACAGGTTGTATGCAAATTCGCATAAAATTATCAATATTAGTTTTATTATTGGTTTTAAAACCCGGAACTGTACAACTATTTTAAATATTTACATCAGTTTTATGAAAATTCGCTTATAATTATCCATATTACTTTTATTATTAGTTTTAAAACCATTGTTAAGAACACAAGAGAGAATTTCATGTATAGGGCTTTATTTATCATCTTATAGATTTTATAGATACACAAGAGAAACTATAATTCAAGCAATAGGAAGTTTACAATATTTTAGTATATTATTATTTATTCCACCCGGATAGTTATGTACCAATAGAGAAGAAAGCCTACTTCTTGATATTATATAACTACTAAATACTCCACTATCTCACACTACACACACACATCAATTCAGCCAATCTCGGATTACAAAAAAGAAATACAAAACGATACATATCAAGCACTATATGCAATAAAACACTTCTGTATATTCCAAAAATTATAGCAGGGGCCCAAATGCCATAAGCTACCTTGCATAATCACAATCTTAATATCAGGTGGCATTCCTACTCGCTCTCTATATGGAGCCCAGGAATTACATCATTCCATTAAGTGTGACACGAGCAACCTTTGTCTACGGACACAAGTAAGGCTTATTCTTAGTCGGGATTTGTCTGTAAAGAACGATTCAATCGCATCCTCGAGGGCCATGTATTTACC